GAGACATTCAAAGATGCAGCAGTGTTCTTCTTTTACATCACTGAGACTACAGGGAGACACTGAGGACCACTATCTACGGAGAGCCTGAAGGGACAAACATGAGATTAATGTGATTAACTAGTTAATACTGACAGCTCTGATTCAACTTCAAATAAAAAGATTTCCGCTGTTTTAATCTCCTTAACAAAACTTCACTTTGTGCACGTTTTGCGTCATTTTGTCCCGACAGCAGCAACAGAAGAAGGTCACAGTGATGCCAGCAGGATTCCTGCAGGTCATCTTTGTTTTTCTCAGACACGGCGGCAGCACATAGGAACTCCCAGCCCTCATGATAAAACATAAATCAGCCGTCCGCCCGTGTTACACAACAGTAGTTAGCATAGTAAGACAAAGAGTACAGTCAGTAAATAGCTCTCAGTAGCATCATGAGACAGGAACACTGATCCAGGATCATGCAGTTAATGTCAACTTTCAGAACGAGTCAGGCAGGAATCTAACACTTTGCAGGATTAAACATTTTCATACAAGATACCGTATTTAACACACTGTAACATGGAAAAATGTGAACATAGATCAAAGTGGGGTCAGCAGGATCTTCACACTGAAGAAGTGTGTCTGTCACATCAGAAACATCCGGCAGAACTCTGAATTCTGGACTTTACTCTGACCCCTGAATGCACCACCTCACGGCAGCAGCAGCTTTAGAGTCACAATGAAATCAAACCTTTTAAAAAATCTAAATTCAAATGTTGAAGTTAAAACATGAACTTCTTATTAAAAGACAAATGTCGGGGTCTCCTGATGTCAAACAGCTGCAGACAGTCTATGGTCGTGCAGCGTCACCAGCACCCCCCACTGGCTCCTCCCACTGGCTCCAGGTGAATTCTCCTGATTATACCCTGCTGTGTTCTCACATCAGCCGACTCTGACTTTTTGCAGAATAAATACGAGGAGGCTGGAGGAGAAAATTCGGGGGAAGTCCGACTGATTAATTCGGCTTCTTGTATTCACACATGCAGCTCCTCCAGGAAAACTTCAAGAGTTTAGTGCCAGAGTGAAAGCGCTAACAGATACACCTTGCTAAAAAAGCTAGCGCTAGCTCCAACCCTCATCCACATAACTTCACTTTGTGCTACGAGAAAATCAAGATGATGCCAAACTCGATGCATGTAACAGCAGTGCAAAAACCAGCGAGTTATGTCAGGATGTCCATTTCATATATACAGTCTATGTGTCAACACAAACTGATTCCTCATAAAAATCTTCAAATGACAATCCTCAGAGATGTGAGGTAAATATTCACTATTTCTACCAGCTTTACATCAACATTTAAACCTTTAGATTTGATAATATATGAACGTGACATTAACTACTTCTAAATATGTGTTTTAAAGTCACCAGTCCGCCAGTTTAGACGAGCAGCAGGTAAGTCATTCAGGAAAAAGGGTTTTTAAGAAGTAGGACAATGTTGACATTTGTGCCTGATGAAGGACTAGACGACTGAAATGTCAAAGGTCATGATCACTTCCATTAAATGTTAATTAGAGCAGCTTCTGGTGTGCGGACTTTGTCTTCTTTCTGTCTTTGGATATTTTTTTTTTCAGCACCCAGTACTCAACAATTGGGATGTGCGGGCTGTTTGATAGTGTTGTGTGACGTTTGGGAATATGACATCAGAATGCACATCCGAATTTAAATATTTGGGATTTCATCTTGTGAGCTTCATGCTCTCTTTAAAGGTCACATATCCTCCTCCTCCTCCTCTTCTTCAGTGTAAATAAGTCTCAGAGCTCCTCAAAACATGTGTGTGAAGTTTCTTGTTCTAAATCCACTCTGATCCTGTATTTGATCATGTCTATAAACCCCTCTATTTCAGCCCTGCTCAGAACAGACTGTTTCTGTGTCTGTACCTTTAAATATGTAAATGAGCTGTGTCTGACCACGCCCCCTCTCTGGAAGGACTTGGGTGTACTCGGTCTGTCTCGCTCCATGTCCTATTGTTTACGTTGAGAAGGCAGACTCAGAGGGCAGAACAAACACTTAGCTGTGGGAGTGTCACCCACTGGGGGAGGGGCTACTGCCCTTTGTGATGTCATGAAGGGAAAATCTCCAAACTGCCTGTTTGAACACACATTTTCTAAAAAGTGGAGCAGGCAGAAGACAGAGAAGATGGACTTTTCTCATCATTGGGGGGTTTGTAGACGGACTAGAGACACATGTTAGAGTTAGAGGAACATGGAGAAGAGGATTCTGAATCATGTGACCTTTAATGAAGATGATTTACATCCATAGAAGTAATTTACTGTGCAGTGTGAGCACGATTATAAGCAAAGACTCATGTTCAAATCAAGCACAATAACAAGACTGAATCTGATTGTGAAAACATTTGATTAATGAAATGTTCGTTTAAAATCCCAAAATGTTTTGTAGCTCTGATGAAGACAGGATGGAGCGCTTGTAAGATTTCAATGTTTATAAGTCGGCCATGTTTGTCTCTAAAGTCCACAAAGAAACGCCAGGATGATTTATTTTGTCGGCATTGTCATCGTTTGTGTCTCCTTTTGGTTTCAGTTCCCTTTGCACTAATAAAGATGTAAGCATTTTCTGTGCTTGGTATTAAGTGCATTGAAGACACAATAAACAAATTAAAATAAATCAGTTGGCTGCTCTGAGGAGCTTGAAGGCTAGCTTCACATTTTCAAGGATCAAGGATTCATTTCTTTTAGTGCTTCAGTTGTTTGAGAAACAGAGGGACATGATCAAGACGTGCTCTTTAAGAATGTGAAACACTGTGGTGAATTCACAACAATGTTTTCATTAAAGTAAGAATGATCGACATGTTCCACATCAATAAATCCTAAAGTCTGTCCTGTGTAAATGTGTCTCTGAGTCCTGACTGTCTACAATGAGGGAGAAGCTCGAGTCCCGCTGGCTGTGTTGTTGTCAGAGCCGTGTTTACATGGACGGGACGGCCGGCTCCTCCCCTTGTGTATAAAAGCTGTTTTAGTCAAGAACTAGAGAGAAGAAGAAGAACATACTCACTGATTATTTGGATGTTAGTAAGAGTTTTTAGATCACGCTCATTCTGTGTCAGTTTACATGAAATGTGAAGCTACGAGCTAACTAAAGAGCGCTAACATTAGCATGCTAACACAACAATGTGAAGCTACGAGCTAACTAAAGAGAGCTAACATTAGCATGCTAACACAACAATGCAGCTCGAGCAAAGGACGATTTTGTCTACTGCTTGCTCTAAATGGTGCTTCATTATGGTGCATTCTATTTGATAACTCCTTCATATGAACGAGTGGAGGGGGGTTGGAGGTGTGTCTCTGGAGGAGAGCGGAGGCTTCAGTATGGAGGAGGCGTGGCCAAATAGCAGTTTGTTTTGGTTTCATGCTGGTGCTCAAGGGCGACATCTACTGGATCAAAAAGTCACACATTCTTCCTTTAAAGTGAACTTCACCTGTGATAAAAGCCAAACAATGCAATTTGAGTTCATGTTTTTGTAGTTAAGCCTACAGTCAGCATGCTAAAGAAGACATTTGCCTGACAGAGCCCTCGAGCCAAAACACAGCACTCTAATGAGGTCAGTAAAGATGATCTTCATGCTACAAGTGTTGGTTGACCTCTTTGACCCCTTTCACTCTTCACGCCCCTACTCTGCTTCTCCATTGTTATTCAGACAGCGAGTGATGAGAGCTTTTTAAAAACGGTTGCCTGCTGTTGCATTAACGTTTCCTCTGTTTGCATCATGAAGGAGCGGAGAAACAGCTCCTGAATAAAGAGCACCAACTGAAGTTTCCAAGGTGTCCACACACTAAGATGTTATTATAAATATATGAAGAGCGGGACGCTGTTAGAAATCTGGTTTCATTGTGACTTTAAAAGTAAAGTCTAAGTTTTTCTGCAGGACGATAATAAGAAACACTTCTTCTGGCTTCACGGTGTAGAAAAACAAAAACAGGTTCAGTCTTGAGTGCAGCATGTCAGACGTCTTGGCTGTGACTAATAAGTTATCTTAAAAACACACATCTGTATCCACAGGGATCTCTAAACACCCCTACATGGGCCCTCTTGGCGGCCTCTGACCCCTCCCGCTCTCTGAAGTCAGGCGCGTGATGCTCGCCGATAACACTTCTCCTCCGCTTTAATCTGAGCAGCGATCAGCCGCCGGAGGCTAAAAAAAGAGAGGGAGACGAGCAACAAAGTTAGAGAAACAATGAAGTCAGTCTTTGCATCCGACAGCATTTCGTCACGGCACAGACGCCGCGCCGCACCACGGGGTCAGGAGGTGATTATCTTACGACGTTTAACGTGGCTTGTGATTTAAAGTCAGATCCAAAGCAAACAGCTCCGAGGAGAAACCAAGAACTGCTGACAACCCTGAGGAGGGGCTCACAAACGGAGGATAAAACTCTCCCAGTTAACACTTTTTATACACAATTACCAGGGCACGCCATTGTCTTCAGCGGCCATCTTGGAAAGAAAAGGTCGCTCTTAAATCAGCGTTTTCATGTGAAACCTCAGACATGTGTAAACGAGCTCAGAGCTTCAGAAGAGAGAAAACACACACGAGCTCCTGAATCTCAGTCTTCCCTTGGAAACAGACTCGAAGTTCATTGGATAACATTTTAACACACACACACACACACACACACACACACACACACACACACACACACTCAGACACACACTCAGACACACACACACACACACACACACACACACACACACACACACACACGCACACTCAGACACACACACACACGCACACACACACACACACACGCACACTCAGACACACACAACACACACACACGCACACTCCGACACACACACACACGCACACACACACACACACACACACACACACACACACATACACACACACACACACACACACACACACACACACACACACACACACACACACACATACACACACACACACACACCACACACACACACACACACACACACACACACACGCACACACACTCAGACACACACACAGGTTGATTGTGCTTCACTCATTCATCAGCTCGTTAGCATCGGGGAGTTTCCTAAAGGGAAACAGATCAATAGACTGTTGCATCACCTTATTCTACCCTGAAATAACCAAAAACATTTTGCAGATTTTTACAGATTTAAAATATTATTTGCATTTCAGAGGATCTCACAACACAAGCCGTGTTGCGATTTCCTTTTTTTGCATCTGGGGGTTTATAAGTCAGTGCAGGCAGGAGTGCTTAAATCCTCTGAATCTTATTCCTATAATCCGCTTTTCTCCATCGATATCGGACTTCTTAACTCCGAGACGCAGCCTTCAAATCCTTTTCCAAAAAACACAGAGAAAAAGCTTCAGGCTCCGTCCTCCACTAATCAGCCTTTTGAGACGACCGATAGGCGTCTGCACGGGCGCCATTCTGCGCTCCGAGCAGCCGGTGCTCAGCACATTTCACTGCAGGACCCAAAAAGACCCTACCATGCTTCTGCAGCCGAGAGCAAAGCGAACACACAGAAGGGCGACGCCTCCAAAAGGAACCCAACACAACACGACCACGTCAGGGCTCATACTTGGCAGCGAGGGTCCGAGCGCTGGCTGGGTGGCGCCGGAGTCTTTTTGGCGTCCGTGCAGCCGAGGCAGGAAGGAACCAACGGGCTGAAGAGTCGGCCGAGACCTTTCCGGAAGACGCTGTTGGAGAGGCTGTAGATCAAACAGTTACAGAAGCTGTTGCTAATCGCTAACCACGTGGTGAGGAAGGACGCCACCTTGTGGTGATACAGCCCGGCGCTCTCCAGCAGGAAGTAGAGGATGTACGGCATCCACAGCACGTAGAAGACGCTGGTGATGCGGAACAGCACCATGGCGTAGCGTTTGTCCGGGTGGCCCTCGCAGCGCTCGCCTCGCTCGCCTTTCTCGCCCTCGAGGTGCGTACTGAAGCGAGCGTGGCGTTGGGTGATCTCCCTCGTGTGCTGCCGGCAGATCCTGAAGATGCTCCCGTAGGTGAAGCAGACGGTGAGCGCCGCCGGAGCGTAGAGCAGCCCGACGATGAAGGTGCTGAAGCCCGGGCTGGTCGTCCAGGAGTCCGCGCACCACTGGAATATGTCGCCATGGTAACCCGGCTTCCCCCACCCGCAGAAGGACGGCAGGAAGATGAGGGCGGAGTAAACCCAGATGAGGACGATGCACGCCCGGAGCCGGCACGGCGTCACCAGCGTGGCGTAGGACAGCGGGCGGGTGATGGCAATGTAGCGGTCCACGCTGATGCACGCCAGGGACGCCATGGAGACGCTCTTCAGCACCGACACCATGTAGCCGAACACCTTACAGGTGAGCTCCTCGTTCAGCCGGCGGAGGTAGTGGAGGAGGGACAGCGAGGGCACGAGGCAGCTCACGCCCACCAGCAGGTCGGCGTACGCCATGGTCTGGATGAAGTGACTGGTGGTGTGGTGGTGCAGCAGTGGCGCGCAGTGGAAGACGAAGATCACCACCAGGTTCCCGGCGATGATGAGCACGGTGAGGAAGAGGATGACGACCACCTCCAGCACGCAGGTGTCCAGGGTGCGCGAGTAACCTACGGCGCCGAGCAGGCAGAACAGAGGAGAACCGCTTTGGTTCGCGTTGGAGGTCGAGTTCATGTTTGGATTTGAGGGGGGGAGGGGAGGGGGTTAGCTTAGTGTAGCCTTCATCCAGTCGTCACAGTCTCCGCTGTAATCCAAAAGTTGCAGTTAAAGTCTAATTTTACAAAAAGGAAACCGCCGCCGCGTCCTCTTAAATCAGCATCGTCTCTCCGTCAGAGAGTCTGAAGTCGATGTAATCCGGCGCCGGACGCAGAACAAACGCCGCTCTGCTGCACGTGGATTTGTGCAGGAAGAATTCATCGTAGGACATAAAAACAAGAGAGCCGGTGTGGTGCTGCAGTGCAAACTGTCCCCCCCCCCCTGAAAGCTGTTTATCCCCCCTCCCTCCTCTTCAGATGTAAATCCTGAGGTAAGCACTCTGCTCCGGCTCGCAGCCACAGAAACATCCAGACATCCTCTCCTGCTCCCGGAGCGCCGGCTGAGGGAAAAGGGAGGGAAAAGAAAAGCTGAAATTCCCGGCAGCGCCCGTCGCTTACACTCCTCCACGCTGCCTCGGCAAACACACGCCGTCAGACCTGGATGTGGCCGCCTCGTGTTCACACACACACACTTTTACACACACTTACACGCGGCGTCTCAAACATCCAGAGGTACCAGGCTTCCTCTCTGTGGAGCTTCCAGTGAGTGTGTGTGTGTGTGTGTGTGTGTGTGTGTGTGTGTGTGTGTGAGAGGCACACTGCCTCTCCGCTCTGCTGTAGTAGCAGTACTGATGATGCAGCGCTGCCTCCCTCTCCTCCCCTGCTCTCTCGCTCTCTCTCTCTCTCTCTCTCTCTCTCACACACACACTCTTGTACTTCCCTCCCCTCGTCTTCCTCACTCCCTCTCGTTCTGCCTTTTTGCCCCTTCATCCCGTCCCGTCCCCTCCTGCCGCTCTCTAAGGTGTTTGATTGTATAAAATGGTATAAACGCACTAATTGTGGCACCAGTGGCCTAGCGGTTAGTTGAAGCTCCAAGTACAGAGGCCACGAAAACCTCCAAAGGGAGGTGTCCAGGAGGATCCGGATCAGATACCTGAACCACCTCAGCTGGCTCCTCTCGATCTATAGGAGAAGCAGATCAAATTTAAAACTCTGCTGCTCGCTTAAAAAACAGACACAGAAACGTCTCCTCCTTACTTTAACTCTCTGATCCAGGTCTACACCCCCCCCCCTCTGTCGCCCCCCGGTGGTGGAATGAACTTCCAAACTCCATGTGATCTGCAGAGTCCCTCTGCACCTTTAAGAAAAAAGCTAAAGACCCAGCTCTTTCATGAATATCTACTAACTTAGTGATGATGGTCTCCATATTATTGATGATGATGATGGTAATGACGATGGTTTTTGTTTGATAACGACGACTTATAAGATGGTTTCTATACTGATTAGAGCTCTCAAGAACTGCCCTCAATGTTGTGCTTTGCCTCTGGTCACTTCCTGTCAGCACCTGTGTGTCCAATCAGACTCAAAGCTGATCGTTTGCTCTTACTCACATTGTTCCCTTTTTTCTAGATCCTTGCTTGTGTTGTTCTTACTCTCTGATGTACGTCGCTTTGGATAAAAGCGTCCGCTAAGTGAATTGTAGAACTGTAGAAATATGAAGGTTATTGTTTGAAGCTGCTGTTCTTTATTCTTTATTTGTCTGCTTCATAAATCATAATGTGACTTCACATGTTTCACTTCCTCCATCTTCCTCTCTGTTTCTGTTTCTGCACCCCCCCCCTCCCCTTACCTCCCCCCTCCTTCCCCACATGTCTCTGCCTCCCTCCATCCTCGTCTCCATGGACCCTTTCACCGCTTCTCTTAGGAAGCCCCTCCCCCATCAGCAGCTGTCAGCCAATAGGCAGCAAGCAGGTTTCCATCTCCACAGAGAGTGTTCACGCCCACCCACGTGTTCCCTCTCGCTCTGTTTCTGACACACACACACACACACACACACACACACACACACACACACACACACACACACACACACACACACACACACTGGCAGGCTTCCCCAACGTATGAAGTGAACCCGTGCAAATGCAACGACACGGCAACACACACACGTGTTCAGAGGCACAGCGTGGGATGTTCATATAGTATGTACACACACATACACACACATACACACACACACACACACACACACACACACACACACACACACACACACACACACACACACACACACACACACACACACACACATTAGAGGAGCATGAGAATTCCTGCAGCTTCAGACAGAAAGACGATAAAGGATGAAGGACAGGAAAGGAAAAAAGAAGCTGATGTGCAATTTTCTTTTCTGTCATAGCAGACAAGACACACACACACACACACACACACACACACACACACACACACACACATTAACACACGCACAACTCATCTGCTGCTTGTTAACATGCACAATCAGAAGCCACCTGCAGTGACTGTCAGAGACCTACTCGGGTCAGCTCAAACTGAACTGTAAGCTCCGCCTCTCTGTTGTCTCATTCTATACGTCTCACTTCTACGGCGCTCTAAGGGCAAACCCGTTACACATGGTCAAAGGATTTCCAGCAGGATAAAAACAGACGGTGCAGATTCAGAGTCAAATCAAATATCCAAACTGTATGCTACACAAGACGTGCTGCAAAAGAAAAAAAACTATGCACCAGCACAGCAAACAGAAAGTCAAAGGATGGACATCACACCTTCCATATTTAAGAACTCCAGAGAGAACAAACCAAATGACGTTTTTTTGTAGGCCAACCCGGAAGCAGCATCGCCATGGCGTCTATGGAGAATTGTTGCATTGGATTTTGGATCGTTGCAGAAAATAAGCTCTGTAACAAACACGTTTCTGAAGCGGAGGCGTTTTGTTCAGCAGGATTTTTATGACGTTTGAAGCGTTAATGTGGCCGACAGAAGTAAAAAGCTAACGTTATGCTACAAGCTAACTACACCACTGTCCCGTTATGCTTCAGACGATCGCCGATAAACTAATCAGCAGTTTTGACAAACTAGCAAAACCGTAGCTTAATAATAGCGTTTGTGTCCGGGACGTTTAATGTCCCCGACAACCGCTGTAGTCTCATTTAGCCGCTTGTTAGCAACCGCTGTAGTCTCATTTAGCCGCTTGTTAGCAACCGCTGTAGTCTCATTTAGCCACCTGTTAGCAACCGCTGTAGTCTCATTTAGCCTCCTGTTAGCAACCGCTTTAGTCTCATTTAGCCACCTGTTAGCAACCGCTGTAGTCTCATTTAGCCACCTGTTAGCAACCGCTTTAGTCTCATTTAGCCGCCTGTTAGCAACCGCTGTAGTCTCATTTAGCCTCCTGTTAGCAACCGCTTTAGTCTCATTTAGCCGCCTGTTAGCAACCGCTGTAGTCTCATTTAGCCGCCTGTTAGCAACCGCTGTAGTCTCATTTAGCCGCCTGTTAGCAACCGCTGTAGTCTCATTTAGCCTCCTGTTAGCAACCGCTGTAGTCTCATTTAGCCGCCTGTTAGCAACCGCTTTAGTCTCATTTAGCCGCCTGTTAGCAACCGCTGTAGTCTCATTTAGCCGCCTGTTAGCAACCGCTTTAGTCTCATTTAGCCGCCTGTTAGCAACCGCTGTAGTCTCATTTAGCCGCCTGTTAGCAACCGCTGTAGTCTCATTTAGCCGCCTGTTAGCAACCGCTGTAGTCTCATTTAGCCTCCTGTTAGCAACCGCTGTAGTCTCATTTAGCCGCCTGTTAGCAACCGCTGTAGTCTCATTTAGCCTCCTGTTAGCAACCGCTGTAGTCTCATTTAGCCGCCTGTTAGCAACCGCTTAGTCTCATTTAGCCGCCTGTTAGCAACCGCTGTAGTCTCATTTAGCCGCCTGTTAGCAACCGCTGTAGTCTCATTTAGCCGCCTGTTAGCAACCGCTTTAGTCTCATTTAGCCGCCTGTTAGCAACCGCTGTAGTCTCATTTAGCCGCCTGTTAGCAACCGCTTTAGTCTCATTTAGCCGCCTGTTAGCAACCGCTGTAGTCTCATTTAGCCGCCTGTTAGCAACCGCTTTAGTCTCATTTAGCCGCCTGTTAGCAACCGCTGTAGTCTCATTTAGCCGCCTGTTAGCAACCGCTGTAGTCTCATTTAGCCGCCTGTTAGCAACCGCTGTAGTCTCATTTAGCCGCCTGTTAGCAACCGCTGTAGTCTCATTTAGCCGCCAGTTAGCAACCGCTGTAGTCTCATTTAGCCGCCAGTTAGCAACCGCTGTAGTCTCATTTAGCCGCCTGTTAGCAACCGCTGTAGTCTCATTTAGCCGCCTGTTAGCAACCGCTGTAGTCTCATTTAGCCGCCTGTTAGCAACCGCTTTAGCACTTGGAAAAAGGACACTGAGCTCAGTGAAAACTATTTTGAAAAACCACTCGTATTATAGGTCGCCTACTAATCAGAATAATGTCTGATAAAAAGTAGAAAATGGAGGAGACAAATAAGGAGAAACTGCACTAATGGGTGAAAGCATGGAGACTACAGCAGCATGCTCAAGGGGCTTTACTGAACCTGTGAGGAGAGCTGGAGAGAAATGAAACCTCCCAACAGCCAATCAGAGAGATCCCTCTCAACGACCACCGATTCAACATGTTGAATCAGCTGAAAAAAGGCAGACGGGGGCCGATCGATAGCAACGGAGCCGGACACACCGCAAAACCTAGGGCGACGACCGCTCACCGACAGCCGACGATCTCCTACACCTGTCGATGTTGTGCTCTGCCTCTGCTCACTTCCTGTCAGCACCTCTGGTCACTTCCTGTCAGCACCTCTGCTCACTTCCTGTCAGCACCTGTGTGTCCAATCAGACTTGAAGCTGTTTGTTTGCTCTTACTGTCGTTGTCTCCTCCTCTCTAAATCCTCGCTCGTGTTGTTCTTTCTCTCTGATGTTCGTCTCTTTGGATAAAAACATCTGCTGAATGATTTGTAGAATTGTTGGACATGACAGCAGAGAGATAAACAGATTTTTATCTTTTAAACTTGTTAAATAATCGTCTACAGCATCAGATTTTAAACTCCTCAAAAAGCAGCTGCACAAACTGGAATCATCTGACCTGCCGGGAAACAAAACAGAAATTTAACAGAGACAGCAGCGCTCTTCAACGTGGAGTATTCTTACTTTTTCAATCTTCTTTTGAACTTTATTAATTCTCTCTCTAAGATTCTGTGTCCCTGCAGCGAAATCCCAAAGCTTTTTTTTATGAAAGCATAAAAACCAAACTACAAACAAAGCATTAAATTCTCTGACATGTCACTGATGGAACATTTCATCTTCTGATTCACCACATTAAACCCAAGAACCAGTTCAGA